AGAAATATGAAGACCTGAAGAAGCCAGACACCAGTGGCTCACGCCTATAATCCTAGCTACTCCCGGAGGCTGAGATCTGAGGATCACAATTGGAGGCCAGCCTAGGCAGGAAAGTCCTTAAGATTCTTATCTCCAGTTAACCGCCAGAAGTGGTGCTATGGTAGAGTGCTAGCGCTGGGCAAAAAAAGCTCAGGGAAGCCAAGTGCTGGTGGTTCACACCTGTAATCCTAGCTACTCAGGAAGCTGAGATCTGAGGATCACCAGTTCAAAGCCAGCCTGGGCAGGAAAGTCCATGAGACTCATCTCCGATAAACCACTAAAAAAACAGAAGTGGTGCTGTGGCTCAAGGATTGAGTGCTTGCCTTGAGCTGAAGAGCGTAGGGACAGAGTTCAAGCCCCCATGATTGATTAAAAAAAAAACAAACCCTGAAGACAGATATTAGAGGATCAAAAGAGATTAAAGCCAATTAGTTCATTGTGTAAGTGAAGAAAATAGGGTTCCTTGGTTTGGAGACAGTCACTTGAAACAGGGTCGTGAGTGGGCTTGAAGTTAGCAGCCTAGGGTGGACTGGTCCTCACAGCAGGTAGTAGTGTGGACAGCTTGCTTGTTTCCTGAACTTCGCTGGGCAAGTAAGTGACAGAGACAAGCAGTCGACAGGATGTTTGCTAGACAGAGATGTGAACAGCCTAAAAAGCCTTCATGGAAAAGGGCAAGAATAAATAAATAATTGGGCCTACCCTTGTGTGTGTCTCTATACATTTAAAACTCGGTGACTTGTTTTAATTGGAGCACAAACACTGAGGATGATTTAAATGGCAATGTGGTGACTCATGGCCTGGCCTTCAGAACTGATTTGAGCTCTTTGCATGAGAAAATCAGCTCAGAGTGAACTAAAAGATTTTTACTCTTGAAAACAGGCATTCATTTTGGATCTTCTTTGGCCTCCTTGGAAGATAAGATTTGGAAAGATGTAGAAGTTATTTCATAGTTATTGAGCCAAGTGCTTTCCTGCAGTAGAGCTGAATCCACATTGTTTTCAGCAGCAGTGAAATTGGTGATCCAATAAAAGATGAGGACTGCTAGATTCAGAGTTGGGGCCAGGGTACTGTACTGCTGTAGTTGCCATCATCCCAGTATGACAGGTCACACTGTCACCATCTCTTCTGAACACACTTGACCTCTTGGTGTCTTTGTGGACCTCCATGAAGTCCTTCCCTTTCTCCTCACACTGGTAACGCCTCATTCCCTAGCGCTACCAGGTCCTGACTTTATCAAGAGTTTCCTCCATTCCCTCTACTTGCTCCCAGGGAATTTCCAGCCCGGGTCTAAAGAAGCAAAGAATCAGAGAGAGTCTAATAGGTAGAATGAGAGGAATCCTGATCAGATTCTTCCAACACAGAAAGCCAAATTGAAGCCAACCTACCTCTACCTATTATTCTATGAGAGCTACTGATCGTTATTCTTCTAATCATGTATTGACTCAATTTACCTTTGTAAGAGAGTAAGTATCTGAATTTGAAGGGTCCTTTATAGGGTAGCACTTAGCAATTAATGTTTATTAAATTTTTGTGCTATTGGGTCTGACCTTCATTCAAGGGGTATATGTAAGTAAGATATAGCAAACTGGTCCTAAAGGCCTCCTTTTTTTCATTCCCCCCCACCCTATAAGAGTTAAGAATAATGCTGAGTTTTAAGTTATAAAAATCGTGTCAAATTCTAGAGGTTCCCTGATGTGGGATGGACAGAATCATGTTGTGTTTTTAGAATAGTCTAAATGTGAATGCAGCCCATTCATTTAAAGTTTTATATGCATTCCAAGGGCTGGGAGAAAGATAAATCACAGCATGATTTGTCCTAATCTTGAACTCCCTAAGGATGGCTTTTTATCACAGTATTCCAGAGTTCAAATATATTTTAAAAAATTCTTTCTGGGCACGGGTGGCCCAAGGTCCCAGCTACTCAGGAGGCAGAGATTGGAAAGATCTCAAAGAGAAGCCAGTACAAGGAAAAACTACTAAGACTCCATTGCTACCTAGCCAGACATGGTGGTACATACCTGTGGTCCCAGCTACCTGGAAGACAGTAAATAGAATCACAGTACTAGGCCAGCCCTAGGCAACAATGTGAGACCCTATCTAAAACAATAACTAAAGCAAAAAGCGGGGCACACTAGGAGCCAGGCCCAAGTGGTAGCGTAGTAGCCTACCAAAGGCACAGGCCCTGAGTTCAAATCTTAGTATCAGTCTCCCTCCTCAAAAAAAAAAAAAGTTGGGCTGGGAAGGTGGCTCAGTGGTAGAGCGCTTGCCTTGCATGCATGAGGCCCTGGGTTCGATTCCTCAGCACCACATAAGCAAAAAGAAAAAAGCCGGAAGTGGCGCTGTGGCTCAAGTGGTAGAGTGCTAGCCTTGAGCTGAAGAGCTGAGGGACAGCGCCCAGGCCCAGAATTCAGGCCCCACAACCGGACCCACTCCCCCCAAAAAAAGAAGTCATGCTATGGGAAAAGCCATAGCATGTCTCCCATATCCTGACAGAATGCCAGGTTGGTAATGCCCCAGCCTCTGAGATGGGGGAGATGAACACAGGTTAAGACAAGTGGAGTTGTGCAGGGCAGAGGCTCCCAGATCATACACTAGAACCTGCCTGCATTCCTTGTGTGGCTTTGATGCTGTGAGTGGACAGCTTTGTTTCTGAGCCCCCTCAAATCTCTGCACACTAACGTATTCTTCCCAGAACAATCCTTTGAGATCCCCTGAGCTTTGAGGTCAGGCTGCTAAGCCCCTGTGTGGGAAGGAGGATGAAGCAGCAGGGGGCAGGGCAGCTCTGAGGTGTGGGAGAGGAGTTCAAAGTCCAGCCAGATCCGGTTATGTGGTGCCCAAGCCCTTGGGGTTCCAGGGCTCCCAAGGAAGCCATAATTGCCCTTTGCTGGGGTATATATTGTTGCAGTCAGATTAGGAAACGTCTGTGACAGACAGACAGAAACACATAAATCCAGCCAGGCTGTACTCCATGCATCCACAATTGAGGCAGAAAAGCCAGATCTCCCAGCAAAGCTATACAATTGCACTTCATACCTATGATTTGGGAGGAAACAATTACAAAGAATGTTTAGAACTTTCCAAACTTTGATTGTGTTGCATGCTCTTACAAGTGGGCAAAAAAAAAGAAAGAAAAGAGAAAAAGAAAATATCCCAAGGGATTTTCGAAACCTTCTCATCCTTGGAATGAGTGGGAAAATCTTGCATACTGGGGTCATTTCCTTTCTGTTTCAAGAAACTGATGTGCTGGAAATAACCCTGTTGCAAAAGGGACACTTCATGTCTTTTGAGTACTGATGATGCCAGAAAAACTTTCCAGGCCTAAAGGGGAGCTTGTCCCTTTCCCAGGCCCCTGGTGCAAGGAGACCCAGTAGTTGGACATGTGACTGGGGTACAAGACCCCCTAGAAGCTGACCTTTGAGATTCTGAGGGAATAATTAACTCATTCATTGAAGAAACAGGGCAGAACATGGAGGGAAGGGCCAGTCTAAGCTGGAGCATAGCATGCTGTCCCTCACAGGAAAGCCAGGGTGTGGGCTCTGTGTCTCCTTCCCTTCAGACTGTGCCAAGTCACTGTGAAGGCCCCATGTGGCTGAACTCACTCTTGAAATTAGCGCTGGGAAGGTGGCTTAGTGGTAGAGTGTTTGCCTAGTATTCATGAAGCCATTAAAGTACCACAGTAAACAGCAAAGCCCAGAAGTAGTGCTGTGGCTCAAGTGGTAGGGTACTAGCCTTAAGCAAAAGAAGCTCAAGCCCCTGAATTTAAGCCCCAAGACTGGCAAAAAAGAAAAACAAAAGAAATGAACAGAGGTTAGCTGGGGGCCTGTGGCCTATGGCTTACACTTACAATCCTAGCTACTCAGAAGGCTGAGATCTGAGGATTATGGTTGGAAGCCAGCTCAGGCAGACAAATCCAAGAGACTCTTATCTCCAATTAACCAGCCAAAAAAAAAAAAAAAAGGAGATGTGTCCAAGTAGTAGAGTACCAGCCTAATATTTTTCCTGAAAGGTCTTCCTAAAGCAAAGGAAAATTGTGAGGATCTGAGGTCAAGTCCCAGTACCAACACACACACACACTCACACACTCACACTCATACACACACTTGTTGATTCAGAATAAGGACTTGCCTACAGAGAAAACTACGATAAGGTGAAAGCTAGATTCCAGTGACTTGTGAAGGCCTCTCAAGGGGTCCCATACTTGCCGACTATTTGGGTTCTCCCAAATTTATCAATACCCCTTTGCCAGAGAGAGACCTGGACACAGAACCCTGGGGAGGACACCTTAGAGGAGACACTCATTTTTCTTTATCAACTATCTTTCCACCTGTACTGGGGGGGGAGAGGGGCCATCCAGCATTTTCCCTCCTATCAGACCCCTCTTGTAAAAGGTACTCTCCCAAGTCCCTTCCAGAGCCCCCCCCCACTTTTTCCTTCATCCCTGCTCAGTCTTGGACTGTGCACTGTGCTCAGCACATTTTCCAATAGCCCTTTAGATCCATTTTCTTCTATGACCCAAGGAGCAGCTGTTTGTTTATCCACCTCTCCCAAACAGAAACACTGGTAAAGCAAAGAAAGAAAAACATCAAACATTTTGGAACAAAAAAAAAATCCCACTATATTAATGGCAATGGTCTCAGATAATACAAAACAGCTGGTAAATGAAAACTCACGTAAGCATGGTTTGGGAAAGAAGACAATTTTGTTAACAGCTTTTTCTTCCTAGTGGTTTTTGTTGGTTTGCTTGTTTTGATTCATTTTTCCCCCTTTTCCTCCGCCCCCCCCCCATTATGCTGGTGGGGGCAGGAAGAAGTCTGATCTTTGAAGCCAGCTGTAGATTACCCAGAGGGGATGGTCTCCTAAACATGATCACACATTCCTTCTAATTCCGATTAGGATGCTGACTCAGAACTCATGTTCAGGGCTGCTCAAAGATAGATTTGGCTTTGTGCCCTCTCTTGTAGGTCCTTCCATCGTGACACCCCCCAAGGACATCTGGAATGTCACTGGCGCCCAGGTGTACTTGAGCTGTGAGGTCATCGGGATCCCAACCCCTGTCCTCATCTGGAACAAGGTTAGTGGCACAGACTTCAGGAGGAACTCGTCACCTGAGGAGGTGGTACCATGTAGTCCTTTGCCTGTTCTTTTGCTGGCTGCTCCTCAAAAGCAGTCCCTAAATCTATGGGACATTTCACTGACCTCCAAACAGTCCCTCTCTGTCCCTCTGTTTGCAACATCTGGCAGGGATCCTGAGAAATGAAAGAATAATATTGAACTCCCCCAAGCCATCATATAGAGGTAGTATACAGATGTATGAATGTGGGTGTGGCCTCTGGGGGAGCTGGTGTAGCATGTTTAGGAAATAGAGCTCCTGTCTTTCGGCTGGCCTTGGCTAAGACTGAAGCCCTCAGCATTTGCTGAGAGAATTTATGTTCCACAGAAGGGCAGGCCTGGCTGGGCAAGAAAGGGAAGCAAAACTCTATAGCCTTCTCTTGTGAGTGTGGATTATCTTCATCCGACCTCTACATGCCAGGAAATAGAATGATCCCTAATGGTGAGGGGAGGGAAGAGGGATGGGTGAGGGATGAGGGAAAGGCTGGGATCCAGCCCTCAAGGTGCCACGGTTATGGGACCACAAATTAGAGACAGTAAACCACTCCAGGAAGAAGGGGAGACTGATCAAAGGAAAGATCCTCTCCTCTCTGAGTTTTGCAGAATGCTGACCCCAAGTGGCAAAGTGGCATACTCTTTTTCATCAGTCCATTTTGAAATGACTTTCCAAATGGAAAAATAAAGAGTGTGAGTTCCCTAGCCAGATTAACAAGGGCCCTGGGCAAGCCGGGGCTCCTCAGCTTGGGCACTATTGACATCTTGTTGCAGCTGACTCTTGCAGCAGGGGCTGCCTGGGCTTCAGAAGATGTTGACAGCTTCCCTGGTCTCTACCCACTGGAGACCACAGCTCCCACCTCCCACTCCACCCCCTGTGATAATTAAAATCATATTTCTCCTGGGGCAAAAGCATCCCCTCCCCCACTGAAAACCATCTGTAAGCCTACTTACTCAGGAGGCTGAGATCTCAGAATCCTGGTTTGAAGCCGGTCAGGACAGGAAAGTCCATGAAACTCTTATGTCCAATTAGTCACCAAAACCCGGGAAGTATGAAGTAATAGAGCACCAGCCTTGCAAAAGAAGCTAAACAAGTGTGCAAGGCCTCAGTTCAAGCCCCAGTACTAACACACACACACACACACACACACACACACACACACAAAGAAAGGAAGAAAGAAAGAAAACCATTGCTCTAAGGCTCAATTTCCTTCTCTGTGTGGTACATTTAGCATAGAATTATCCTTAGGGTTAAATAAAATAATGCAGGTAAGTCACACGGCTCATTGGTAGATACATTATAGCACTCAGTATAAAATAGCCACTGTTTCTGGAAATATCTCCCTTTGAGTGACATTGTCTTGTGACATGCCAACACAGTAGACACATTTTCTTAGCATGTTGGTAGGAGGAAAGAAAATAATACTTTGCAGTTATAATGCTCATTTATATTTATGTCCTTGTATGAACTGTCTTTTTTTGCCAGTTCTGGGGCTTGAACTCAGGGCCTGGGCACTATCCCTGAGCTTCTTTTGCTCAAGGCTAGCACTCTATCACTTTGAGCCACAGCTCCACTTCCAGCCTTTTCTTTTATGTGGTACCAAGGAATCAAACCCAGAGCTTCATGCATGCTAGGCAAGCACTCTACCACTAAGCCACATTCCCAGCAATATAAACTATCTTATGAAATTTTTTAAAAAAAGAAAAAACTCATCAAATTCATACTACCAAACAGGAAATTTAGTTTAAAAATACAAAAACAGACTCTCTTTTAAGCTTGTTTACTTCTTCAGCAAGCTCTACAATGATCTCTCTTGATTATCTTGTTGCAGTATTAGATGGCCAAAGAAGTTATTGATTCTCAAATTCCTGAAGGAGTTATGGAAAAAGAAGGCAAGAAGGGAGGGAGGAAAGGAGGAGGGAAATAAGGCAACTCCAGCCTACAGGGCTAGATTCACAAGCACACAAATGTCATCAGGACTGGAACTCTTGATCTTTGCTCTCATTTTCCTATCCTTAAGAGAACTTTTGCTGCAGTGGACGATATTGCCAATGGCAATTATCACAGAAAAAGCCCAGAGCAAAGAAAGGGCTCTCTTCCAGATTCTGGCTTGTGGAAAAATCCTAGGAAGGTCTCTGGCCAGATCAGGTCACCTGACAACCTTCAGCGCCCCCATGTGGCCAAAGGGATGCAGCCACTGAGAAACTGCCTGGTTTGAGTAATGGGTAATACACACCACCTAGGGTCCTGGGTGGACAGAGATGACACCAGCTATATGGCTCTCCCTTATAGCTGAAATGTCCATTAAAGGGAATAATGAAATTTAGCCTCAGGAAATTGTTTGAAAAAGAAACCAAGTAATAAGGGGCAGAAATGCAGTCCCTAAATGTATCGCTTCAGGCCTTTACTGAGCCAGCTGCCGAGCTGCTTGTTCATGTGGAGGCTGGTGGTTAGCCAGGAGGTAAAGGAGAACTTTTCCAGGGAGTATCCATAAAAAGCTCTGCTGCTGCTCTACAGTTTCCTAGGGAGACTGACTCAGTGAGAAGCCCGGATGACCCCATGTCCTGGGCATGTAACTTTATTGGTAAATCTTGGCAGAAAATCACATCCTCAGTTCTTGCTCTGCCATACCAGCTGACACACACACAGGACTGTGTTCTGGGCCTCTTTTCCTTGGGGCTTCGTGAGGCAGGTCCTTTGAGAATACCATGATCAAGGGGGGCAGGGTAGGGAAGACTAGGAGGATGAGGGAGAAAGAGGGACAGGAAAAGAGTTATGAGGAAGAACAGAATAAACAGAAGCAACAACCCAATCAGGATTCTCCACAAATTCTCCTGTACCTTCATACTGTCATTTGCCCCATATATGACCTACACCTTTGGTTCCCAAACTGCAACCCATGATCAGTGAGTCCTAGAATTAATGTAGGAATCAAAAGCAATCTTCTTATAGGAAAGAAAAAGTAGAACCAATGGCTTGCTATGTGTGCTAGTATTACTTGTTAAGGAATAATTTCATAAAACCATGTCTCCCAGATCCCAAGGTAAGTTGTATTTCTTTGTTCAGACCATGGCAAAACACTTGGGAAACGAATGGTCATTTGTTTCCTCTGCATCTCCTGTAAGTAGACTAAGCACACAGAAATATTTAAGGTAAGCGTGTTGTTTCAACGCTAATTTAAGCACAAAACTTTTTGGATAGAAATGATAATAGGCCAGGCTTTCAGCTTTAAGCCCCCATCTCAGTAAGTAGAGGAAGGAGAATCTCAAGTTCCAGGCCACCTAGAACTATATGTAACAAGACCTTGTCTAAAAAACAAACCCCTGGAAGGCTGAAATGGATCCGTGGGTCTCTCCCTCTCTGATTCTCCTCTTAGTGAGAACCTTTACAGTAACAATGACTTAATACCAAGCCTTTTTTTTTTAATCTTACAGATTTCTGAAATTTATTGGTATTTCCAACTCTTTGTATATTTGCAGAATTGTCCTAGAATTTTTTTCCTCTGACTGGATTTTTTATTCTAACTGAAAAGTATATATTTATCAATAAATTCTTACCAAAGTAATGGAGTTGAGTTACATGAAAATTCTTGGCACTTGTTTTGCACATGTGTAATTTTTTTATAAGTAAATTTTGTGTGTGCTGGGCTTGACAAAGAGCCTGAACTGTCCCTTAGCTCTTTTGCTCAATGTTGGTACCAACCAGTTTGAACCATAGCTCTACCTTGATTTTCTTTTTCTTTTTTTGGGTCCAGTCATGGGGCGTGAACTCTGGGCCTGGGCACTGTCCCTCAGCTCTTCAGTTCAAGGCTAGCGCTTTACCACTTGAGCCACAGCACCACTTCCAGCTTTTTTCTTTTTGCTTATGTGGTGCTGGGAATCGAACCCAGGGTCTCAGGCAAGCAAGGCAAGTGTTCTACTACTGAGCCACCTTCCCAGCCCCTACCTTTATTTTTTTGCTAACTGGGGATAGTTTCATGGACTTTCCTGACTGGACAAGCTTCAAACCAAGATCTTCAGATCTCAGCTTCCTGAGTAGCCTGGGATTATTAGTTGTGAGCTACCAGTAACCAGCAAATAACTAGCACAAGAAATTCTCTGTGATAGCAGATCAGGTTCATTAGCATGGGCCCCGAGCTTTGAACAAGTCAAGACAAAAGCCCTACCATGAGCCACATCCCTTGCCTTTTTTTTTTTGGAAACAGGACATGTTACAGGCTGGCCTCCAACTGTGTTTAGGGCCCAGGCTAGCCTCAAACACACGATCTTTTGTCTCAGCATCTCAAATGCTGAGATTATAAACAGGAACTACTATGCTGAGTCACAATTCTTTTACTATCTGATTTGCTTTCATACTTGCTAAGATTCAGATTTTCTGTGCTGTAATGTTTTATTTTTCTGCTTTGATAATATTTAAAGCCCTTACAGAATTCTGGGGTTTAGTAAAGGCAAGAGAACTACTCAAATTTAGCCAGTGAATCAAATACTTGTCCCAAAATACTAAATCCCATTTATAACTAGTCCAAAGCTGCACTATTATAAACCTCTTCTGTCAGCCACTTGGAGAACTGAAGGAAAAATACATCTATTCTTGTTTATCTTAGCATGTGTATGAAAAGACACTTAGTTTTCTCTCACTAATGATGACAAAGCCAAGTAGAGAAAGTCAAGGAAAAAAAATGAACATTTGCTTTATTATAGAAGTAAATGAGATGAAACTACACTTTTGACATAGCACATCCTTCCAATTACAAAAGTAATAATACACACCAGCCTGGTTATTGAAAGATGTCTAGTACACAGAAGGCACTGTACAAAAGGAAATGTACGCATTACTTGACTCATGTAATTGTAATCCCTCTGTACATCACCTCTATAATAACAATACATTAATTTTTTAAAAAGATGTCTAGTATAAAAAGTTCCATGCATCCTTAAAAAAAACCTTACTCATCATTGGCCTTTTAAATAGTTGTATTCTATAACTGAAATGCTAAGATGTATGTGGACAACTTCCAAGAAAACTTGTCTTTTGTGTATTTCTGTGTATTCTCCAAAATTCACATAAGATAGTTTGACCTTTAAAATGAAGAGCATGGAAAGAGGATTCATTATTGGCCTTAATCCAAGGGAACTGAACTTCTGCTTAATCCAGTCTCCTGAATCCAATCATGAAGTGTGCAGGACTAGGCAAGAGAACAATGGTATCAGCGCATGTGACAGATGGTATTGGCCATAGGCCTTCAGGAAATCATTCGATGAATCCTTAGTCCAAAGGACCATGTAATAAAATCAGCTGTAGACAGTACCTCCTATTTTCCATTGATGAGGCTAATTTCCAGAAGCGCCCCAAGATCCCACACATCAAAGCATAACTGGTTAACTGTGGATCAAAAATGGCCTGACAGGCAAGGAAGACCCAGCACCAAGGGGAATTTCCAGGGACACGAATGACCACAGCCAGTAGCAGGAAAGGATGGACCTGTGTACTCCTCCAAGCACACAGAAAAATGAATTCATGTAAAGAATGTTGCTTAGATGAAACTGGAGGAAATAAAGAGATCTGTGTTTGAGAAGTATTCCAGAAAAGCAAACGTGGGAGTAAATGATTAGGCTTAATCAGATTAGGCTTAATTATTAAGTCTGACATATACCTTTTGAAGTTTTAGGAATGCAGCCATTTCAGTCATTTTACTGCCAAGAACTGCAATGTTTCCTCTTGTTTATGCAGGTAAAAAGGGGCAACTATGGTGTCCAGAGAACAGAACTCTTGCCTGGTGACCGGGACAACCTGGCCATTCAGACCCGAGGTGGCCCAGAAAAGCATGAAGTAACTGGCTGGGTGCTGGTGAGTATCTAGTGCTAGCAAGAAGCTCATTCTAAGAGTTAAGACACAAGCCGCCCTGGCAGAGGTGCCAGATGTTCTACCAGCCTGGTGGCACTGGCTCCTGCACATCCATGTAGAGCAGCCTGCTGGGGCCACTGTTCTTTTCAGGGAGGAACAATAAGAGTTGAAATTGACTGTATGTTTTAGAAACCAAGAGTTAATGAAGAGTAATTTTTCCTGAGTTTTATGCAAAATTCTCAGAGAACATAATGACCCAAGCACTAATTACTTTATCTGACTTGACACTTGATTTAATAGATGTTACTTAGATCATATCCTCTAGAAAGGCATCACTCAAACTTATATGATGCAACCCAAATTTGTTCGTAACAATTTCTAAGAGTATGAATCCTCTCAGACCAGGCGTGGTAGCGACACAGGTTTCCAAGCACAGGACTTACTTACTCCTAGCAGTCATTGCTACAGATTCTCTTACTGGTCACCTGGTCATCTTAGGGAACTTAGGAAATGATGACCATGCAAGCCAGTGGGGAGAGGGGAACTAGTTCCCACAGGGGATCTAGAGATCCTTTTTCTGTCACAGGTGTCACCTCTGAGTAAGGAAGACGCTGGAGAGTACGAGTGCCATGCATCTAATTCCCAAGGACAGGCTTCAGCATCAGCAAGAATTACAGTTGTTGATGCCTTACATGAAATACCAGTGAAAAAAGGTATGTAAATAAACCTCAGACCTTTAAAATATCCAAAGTATCAATAGGAAGTGCATCAAGTATGCCATTCAAATGTAGATCCCATGGTTCCCTGAAGAATACTGGGATGATGGGGGAAGGTGGCTCAGTGGTAGAGCGCTTGCCTTGCATGCATGAGGCCCTGGTTTGATTCCTCAGCACCACATAAGCAAAAAGAAAAAAAGCCGGAAGTGGCACTGTGGCTCAAGTGTAGAGCGCTAGCCTTGAGCTGAAGAGCTGAGGGACAGTGCCCAGGCCCAGAGTTCAGGCCCACGACCGGACACCCCCCCCCAAAAAAAAGAATACTGGGATGTCTGAGGGATTGCCCACACTATAACTTAGATGCTTTCTTCTTATCTTGGCCATGAGAAACAGAACTTGTTTCCCATACTTTTTTTGTCCATGTTCAACACTTTAGCCATGCCTCCAGTTCTAGCTTTTGCTGCTTAACTGGAAGTAACAGTCTTGAGGATTTGTCTGCTCTTGCTGGCCCCAAACCTTGATTCTCAAATCTCAGCCTCCTGACTAGCTAGGATTATAGGCCTGAGCTTCCGGCACCTGGCTCCATTACTACCTACATGGCTTTTTTCATTTTGTTATGTTAAATTCCCCTTTAAAAGGAAATGACTGTGGGAGACTTTGCTCTTCATTATAGGCTTCTAAGAGAAAAAGGTGGAGAAAGAGTATGTTGCCAAATTCCCAATTCTTCCTGCCTCCACTTCCCTGCCAACAAGGGTACTCCAAAGAACCCAGGCAGATAGTGTCACAGTATTTACCTAGTTCACCAGTGATGTTTGAACAGGCCTTCCCTTACCCCAAGTCAGAACAATATACCACTTCACTGTGCCAATCACTGGGCTGTGGAACGAAGGCAAGTATCAAAGAGTAAAGATTGCCTTACAGTCAAGGTGTGTAAAGCAAGGCAATAACACAGAGCAGCAGCTAAGAATTAAGTCACATTTGAGTCCCAGCTTTGAGCTAATTCTTCTGCCCTTTAAAGTATGAACGAGGGCTGAACCACAAAGTTCTTACTTTCCCTCCATGAATCCCAACTTAAGAGAGCTGTACAATGTCTGATCTAGTGTATAAAGTATACAAATACCTATACTTTATTTCCAAAGTGTACATCTGAAACTGTACAGCTCAAACTCAACAAAGCACTGTAGTGTATCATGCATTTATTACTCACATGTCCTTTATTGCCATATTTTGTTTTTTTTTTAACAGAAAGGGTCTCTGGTATACACCTGTAATCCTAGCACTTTAGGAGGCCAAGGCAGAAGGATTCTAAGTTCAAGACCACCCTGGACCAGATAAGAATACCCTGTGTGAAAAACAATGAGTTGGAAGAAACATGGGTTTTCTAAGTTGTCTCAGATGGTCCCAAACTCCTAGGCTTAAAACATCCTTCTGCCTCAGCCCTGGAATGCTGGCTGGGACTACAGATAAACCATTATATCCCATTATATCTTGCCCTATCTATTATCCCTATCTAACATGTTCAAACTGCCTGTCAAGTAGAAAGTTTACCATGTCCAAATATGTAACCAAATATTTTTTATCTTTTTCTCTTTTTAAACAGGTGAAGGTGCTGAGCTATAAACCTGAAGAGTATATTAGTCTACATAGCTAAAACTTAACCATAGACAGCCCATATTATTACCTAATTACAAGTTTCTTTTATGCCAATGCACTAATACTCTAGTAATAATACTCACAGGTTTTATATAAAGAAATACAAAGTAAAGATAACATAGGCGGGAAACATGGAGCAGTGGTAGAACACCTGCCAGAAAGGACAAGGCCAAGAGTTCAAACCCAAGTACATCCAAAAACAATAAAAATAATACTAAAAGAGGACATCAAGACATCTATAAAAATTTATTACCTATTTACATGCATATCAATAAAACAAATGCTTTTAACTGCAATGCAGTAATTTTGTAATTTTTAAAGCATCCACAGAAACAAGACAGATTCCCAAATATCTTGTCTAGAGTCTTTGAAGAGTTAAACACTCATCATTCGAGGTGCAATACTCATAGACATAAGTTCCTGAAACAACAGTTTGCACGCGTAAGGCATTCGCACCAAAGAAATCTGAAAAGAGAAAACAAATCATCATCAGAAGAACTCTACTGAAGTGACCCACTTCATTCAGTACTACAGGGGAATGAGGGGCCTCAGTCAGTCCTGCTTTCTCCCAGCAGGCTGTGCTATTCCTCTGGTAGGCCACACATAATGTATATGCAACCTCAATTGAAAAATTATAGTAAAGGATTAAGAAAAACTCATTTTTCAAAATTCCTTGTGGAAAACTTGATTATTTAAAAAAAAAAATAGAAAACTTAGAGAAATTACCATACATAAAATAAGGAATCTTACAGAGGCACACTAGCATGCTTGTGAAAATACTGACCTGTTCCCACACACTAAACCTGCCTGCAGAACAGACCAACATAGGCATGGCAGAAACCCAAGGACTGCAGTGCACACATACCTGGGTTTTATTTCGGCAACCCCTGCATTCATACGTATGTGTCCTGGTGTTAGCAATTGCCATAATTCCACAAAGGTTACACACATGAACCTGATAGGGATCGGAAGCCTCAAACAATCTTTCTCTTAAAAATTGGGCTGCTCCATGGGCAATCTGACAGTCACGTTCCATTTCTCCAAAGCGCAAGCCACCATCACTGGAAAGGAGAAAACAATAAGTATTTTGCACTTATCACTATATACACAGCATTGTAACCAACATTAAAGAATGAGAACTAGGCTGTAGATTTTATTCCTTAGCATTCCCTCTCCCTTCAGGGGAGGTAAGATCTACCAGCCATTTGAGGTGCACTAGACAGTCCCCAAATGCAGCAGACATATTAGATTTTCAAGTACTGTGTGTAATTTTCCTTATAAATACAATGTGGTATGGAGTAAAGACTCATCATGCTAACATTTAACTTTCTAGAATTCACCACTATACTCAGAAGTGAGTAAAAAGTCAATCTAAATAAGGCAGCTTCTCAATAAACGATGTCCCAGGCAGTCAAGCTTGCAGTGATGAATGCACATCCAAGGCCAGGAGAGTGACCGTAGGTCTCCCCATGACACCAGCGCAGTGCATTGGGATGCCCACACAAATGGGCTATGATACTTCCTTAACATCCTTAGCACAAATAATACATATAATAAAGCCAGTGGGCTTATGATACTTCCAAATGTAACAAAACTTGTTATTCTGAAATTGGTTAAGTAAAAAGAAAACATCAAGCATTTATCTAGACTTTATTATAGGCCCTATATTATATAAAGATACATTCTGAGCTGGGCACTGGTGGGGCTCATGCCTTCAATTCTAGATATTCAGGAGGTTGAAACCTGAGGACCACAGTTCAAGCCCAGCCCAGGCAGGAAAGTTTGTGAGACTCTTATCTCCAATTAAATCACAGAAAAAGTGGCACTGTGGCTCAAGTGGTAGAGTATTAGCCTTGAGCAAAAGAAGCCCATGGACAGTGCCCAGGCTCTGAGTTCAAGCCCCAGGACTGGCAAAAAAAAAAAAAGAGAGAGATAAACCAGTGGATTTTAACATGATATACAAGAAGGCAAAAAGGCTTAAGGGCCTGGCTTCATTACATTACTATTTACTTTTAAGAAATGGCAATAGTCCTTTTAGTATAGCATCATAAAAAAAATAGCCACATTTACCTAAAAAAAAAATACTCCCACCCTTTTTTACTGACAACTATGTCAGATTACATTTTTCCTCACATACTTAAACATAAAAAGCACATACTGAAGTAAAATGAGTGCAGAACTGGATAGAAGACTCTAGCTACCTTCAAGTAAACCAGTTCACTAAGGACATTTGCAAAAATGTAAACTTATTTCACTCATCAGTAAATGATTTAGGAAATACACTTTTTATTAAATTTGATACTGATAATGTATATATTACTGTTTGTTTAAATAAATGTTTAAACCTATCTTCATTTCTAATATAATAATTACCCATAAATATACTTCACAAGAATGAAACTGAAGTTCTGGGATCAAGAGATTTGAGAGCCAATTATTTACAGGCGTAAGTAATATCTACAGAAGAAATTATAGGGGCTGGGAAGGCGGCTCAGCAGTAGTGCTTGCCTTGCATGCATAAGGCCCTGGGTTCAATTCCTCAGTCCCACAGAAGCAGAAAAGGCCAGCAGTGGTGCTGTGGCTCATGCAGTAGAGTGCTCGCCTTGAGCTGAAGAGCTGAGGGACAGCGCCCAGGCCCAGAGTTTAAGCCCCATGACTGACAAAAAAAAAAAAAAAGAAATTATACAGTGCTTGCTAAATAAGTGCTGTATAACCCTAGTTCACCTCTGATTATTTTTAAGCAAAGCTAGGTTATACAGCACTTGCTTAGCAAGCACAGACCACGGGCTTGATTCTCTACACAAAAATGTGTGTGAGTAAAATAACCAGGTACTAGTATGAGAGAGGAGATGGACACAGGAACAAGACTGAAACTACTGAAGTTGGGTGACAGGTATATTGACATTCACAACCCCTTTTCTTTGTATGTATTTGGCATTTTCAAATGAAAGGTTAATTAAGAATAAATAATGGGCTGGGAAGGTGGCTCAAGTGGTAGAGCACTAGCCGTGAGCTGAAGAGCTGAGGGACAGTGCCCAGGCCCAGAGTTCAGGCCCCACTACCAACAAAAAAGGAAAAAAGAATAAATAACAGTGATAACACAGCTTGCTTACCGAGATCTACCTTCCATAGGCTGTCTATTCAGGATCTGAATAGGTCCCCTAGCACGAGAATGAATTTTGTCATCCACCATATGCTTCAAGCGCTGGTAGTAAGTTGGGCCAATAAAAATTTGTGAGGTGATTTTTCGACCAGTGAACCCATTGTAGAGGACCTGAAACAGACACAGATGTTGAAGCACAAAACTAAAACTATTAAACAAGTTCAAGGATATAAGTACATAAAGTACATATATTGGACAATTCCATTTATATAAAAAAAATCAACAAAGTATCTTAGCAGTTAGCTTGGGTATGAGTTGGGTGAATGAGAGGGAGTTTCTAGGTATAAAGGGTCCTGGGTCATTTTTTTTTATGGATCATGGTATTTGACACACAGGCGTGCTTACTTGGAAATTCATCAAGCTATGCATTTATGATGTATGCACATATTTGAACCATAAGTTATACTTCATCAAAAGGTTTTAGTGTGTGTGTGACCATGCACGCATATATGAGTGGGTGCATCAGTCCTAGGGCTTGAACTTTGCATGTGTGTGTGAGCATGCACACACCCACATACATGATAGTCCTAAAGCTTGAACTGAGGGGGCCTGGGTGCTGTCCCTGAGCCTTTTTGCTCAAGGCTAGTGCTTACGACTTGAACCACAACTCCACTTCCAGCTTTTTGGTGATTAATTGGAGATGAGAGTCTCATGGGCTTTTCTGCCCAGGCTGGCTTCAAACCACCATCCTCAGATCGCAGTAGCTAGGATTACAGGTGTGAGCCACTGGCACCCAGCTTCAAAGATTTTAGTTTTAAAGAATAAAACCGGGTTGGGGGGGCAGGGGGAGGATGGGAAGGGATGGGAAGGGGAAACAAAGGAGGAGGCTACAATGCTTGATAAGAAATGTACTCATTATCTTGGCCATGTAATTGTAACCCCTCTGTACATTATTTTTCACAATTAAAAAAAAAAAAGAATAAAACCATAGGCTGGGAAGGTAGCTTAGTGGTAGATGCTTGCCTAGCACGCATGTAGCCCTGGGTTCGATTCCTCAGTAGCACACACACAGAAAAAACCAGAAGTGGCGCTATGGCTCACGGTAGAGCGTGAGCCTTGAGCAAAAGCTCGGGGACAGTGCCTAGGTCCTGAGTTCAGGCCCCACAACTGGCAAAAAATAAATAAAACCATACATTACAAAATAAAACTACATAAATAATAGAATACAAGTAACAAAGTACCACTATATATACCTCATTTCCTCTGAGATGGTAGCCATAATCCGACAGGAGATTAGAAATCTTCTGGACATTAACAGCATCATTAAATGGAGTGGCATCACCAATTTCACCCTTGTTAGCTGATACCTTTGAAATAAAAATATTCTTTGAAATGCTGCTTCATTGTTTCCCTTTAGAAGTTATATATCAATTAAATATAAATGCAATTAAATCCATTCTATAAAGGGGAGGATTTAAAAATCTATGTATTGGGGCTGGGAAGGTGGCTCAGTGGTAGAGCACTTGCTTTGCATGCCTGAGGCCCTGGGTTCGATTCCTCAGCACCACATAAGCAAAAAGAAAAAAAACGGAAGTGGCGCTGTGGCTCAAGTGGTAGAGTGCTAGCCTTGAGCTGAAGAGCTGAGGGACAGTGCCCAGGCCCAGAGTTCAGGCCCCACGACCGGACCCAAAAAAAAAAATATATGTATTGAAAAGTTGTGATATATGGAGACTCATTTTCTTAATATCATATAAAAATATATGTTTATAGCAAATTGATTTACCTAAAAAAACCAAAAACTCAAATATAAGCCTTCAAATATGAATTCACCCATGGGATCAGATACAAAGAGAGCAAAAGTCCCAAATAGTTCTGATGGCCCCAAGAAAATGACATTTTAATGATCTGCAATCAAGCTGTCTATGAGTTAGGTTATGGCCATTCTACCTTAACAAGATACTTAAAAATAGAAACCTCCACTAAAAGGCACATGCACAGCTATAATAAAGCTATAAAATTACTAAGGTCACCTTGAACCAATTACCTTTCATCTATAGAAAGAAACCAGTTACTAAAATAATGACACATGTAGCAAATGCTGGTAGTATATCCTACAAAAGTTCTGCCATAACTTTGCAAACTTAATTTAAAAGATAAATAAAAAGACTCATAACCAACTTGAAAGCAGGAAAATAAGAATTATATTAACATAGCAACCCGGCTCAAATATAAGAGAAATCATCTACTATTGTTTTGGATGAAACATCAATTTGGAGTACATAGATTTTTTTTTTAAGCCAATCTTTTACCTTTCCTTGAAGACATTCAATCAAGTGACCAATAGTCATTCGAGAGGGGATGGCATGGGGATTTATGATGATGTCAGGAGTGATACCTTCACAGGTGAAAGGCATGTCCTGTTAAGAAAAAATTAAGAAACTTAGGAGAACCTGACTTATGTAAGCATAAGCCCTCTGTATATCACCTTTATAATAACAATTTTTTAATTTTTTTAGAGATGCTAAAACCTCTTTTAGAACTGACATTGCCTATAAATAAATTTGTCACAAATTCTTGTCCACATAGTATGTTTACATGCTTATTCAAAACTAACGTTAGAGAAATAATGAGGTAACAGCAAATTCTGAATAAAATGTTCAACAAGTCAAATGTTAGTGGCTCACACCTATAATCTTATCTACACAGGAGGATCGCAGTTCAAAGGCAGCCTGGGCAGGAAAATCCATGAGACTCTTATCTCCAGTAAACTACTCAGAAAAAGCCAGGCACTGTGGCTCAAGTTGTGGAGCACTAGCCTTGAGCACAAAGAGACTTAGGGACAGCACCCAGACTCTCAGTTCAAGCTTCAGGACTGGCAAAAAAAAAAAAAAATCAACAAAACACGGGGTTAGGAGTGAGGAAGACCAAAGACACCCACCTCTTGTCTATATTGAATACCACAAGTACCCTTCTGGCCGTGACGACTAGCAAATTTGTCTCCAATCTGTGGGATTCTAACAGAGCGCACCTAAATTCATATAAAAATAAATTAGGTGAAAGAAGCCACTTCATTTTAAAAGTCAGCTATATGGCACAAGCTATACTCACCCTTATTTTGCAAAACTTGTATCCTTCTTGGTTCAGAGTTACCATCACCTGGTCCACAATGCCTGTCTCACTGGTTCGAAGGAAAGTGCTACAGTCTCTCTTGGTATAGCGCCTGTTGGTGCTCTCCAGCTCATCTTCATTTTCAGGCAAGGTGACTGTTTTGCCGATGATAACATCATCTCCTGATACACGGACCCCTGGAGCGATCAGCCCATCATCATCCAGCTTGTCATAAATGGCATGCCTCATACCTGTAAGGAAACAGACATGGGATTTTCTAAAATAAAATTATCACACAGGAAAGTATTTTAGAATGTCAGTAATCCCTAACGAAGTTTAAAAGCCACAGACATGAATCAATTCCAAGTCAGTAGAAAGCTTCCACAGTCTGTCCTTAATCCAAATACTTACAAACTATTCTGTTCCCTGTGATACCACTATATATAGAAGGGGAGAAAAAAAAAAACCTACAAAGAAAAAGAACACGGGACTGAGTAGTGGAAAAACAGACATCAGCACACTTTAGATGAGTGTATTTCCATCTCATTATTACATAAGAAAGAGTATCTGTGTCCTCATACATCATTCCTCAGAAACCACAATTTCATCTTATACCATCTTTTGTTTTGCTTTTATGTGTGTGCTTATATGTCAATACTGAGCTTGAACTCAAGCTCTCACTTAGCTTTTTTTGCTCAAGCATGATGCTCTATCACTTGAACCACACCACCACTTCTATTTTTGCTAGGTAATTGGAGCTAAGAATTCTCAGAGTGGGCCAGGCACCGATGGCTCACGCCTGTAATCCTAGCTACTCAGGAAGCTGAGATCTGAAGATTGTGGTTCAAAGCCAGCCCAGGCTAGAAAGTCCATGAACCTATTATCTCCAATTAACCACCAGAAAACCAGAAGTGGTGTTGTGGCTCAACTGGTAAAGTACTAGCCTTGAGCTAAAGAGCTGAGGAACACCGCCCAGGCCCAGAGTTCAAGCCCCACAACCAACAAATTGGTATGCCCAGGGTAGCTTTGAACCAGGATCCTCAGATCTAAGCCTCCTGAAAAGCTTGGATTAGAAGTGTGAGCCACTGGCACCCAGCTTAATCTTGTGGGACTGTAACTCTACTGGACATCAATTCTACAAAGAGCCACCCAACAGAAACAGAATAATTGGAAGCTATGTGAACAACACACATTCTACCTGATATTCATGTAATGCTATCAGGAATCAAAACCAGGTCAAGCACCAGGGATGGCTTACACTTGTAATCCTAGCTACTCAGAAGGCTGAGATCGATCTAAGGATTAAGGTTAGAAGCCAGTCAGGGCAGAAAAGTCTGTAACAGACTGTTCTCTCCAATAAACTACCAAAAGAGCCAGAAGTAGAGCTATGGCTCAAGAGGTAGTGTGCTAGCCTTGTGTACAAAAGCTCATGGACAATGCCCAAGCACTGAGTTCAAGCCTCAGGAACACACACATACAGTAAGCATCCTATCCTTCAGAAGTACTTCTTAAATGCCTACAAAAATAATAAATTTGAATTTTCTTGAAAATATAAGAAATGCTAGAAAGTCCCTCATCATTTGTTTGTTTAGTACTACAAGGGTTTCAATGCAGAGGCTTGCATTTGCTAAGCAAGCACTCAACTTGAGCTATATCCCCAGACCTCATTATTTTTCGGCTTTTTACAGCTATTGAAGCTGAACAAATCTTATGATCCCTGAAGTCTGTGCACACTGAAGAACAAGTATAAACACAGCATGAGTGAGGCGGATCTCCTCAGTGCAAGCCCAGCCAGGAAGAAAGGTCCCAATCAAGTATACTCCTGGAAGGAATACCTTTTCCTACACAGAAGCTCTAGAAGAATTATAGGAAAATTTTCTCCTTCATTACAAAAATAGGGGCAAAATTACTTAAGAAAGCCACAGGAACTAATTCTGAGTTTTAAATGACAATGTCACTTACCTTGGCATGTTTCACGCGTAGGCTTCTCAAAAACTTCTTCTTGATCAAATCCTTTTTTAGACTCTTGTTCTTTATATGAGCGGTAGAAAACAGACCTAAAAAGACGTGGTTTTAAAGGTTTCACTTCTGGGTTTTTTATTTTAGGTGATACTTGGATCTTCAACTCAGAGCCCCACACTTGCTAAAGCAGGTGCCACCATGTCCCGAACTCTTTTTGCTTTCAAATAGGATCCTATTAGAATCTTGCATTTATGCCCAGGCAAGCCTGGACTGCAATCTTCCCATTTACACTTCCTGAATAACTGGGATGACAGAAATGTAGCACTATGCCCAGCTTTTTATTAATTGAGATGGGGTCTTTTGCCTGGGTTTGCCTCAAACTACAATCTTCCTGATCTCTCCTGAGTAGCTAGGACCTGGTGACCTTTTTTTTTAAGAGCTTAAAAAAAAAAAAAGAATTAGAATATACCAACAATATTTTACTTAGTTGATATTTGAGGTCCAATTTAAGCCATGAATCAGGTACAGGAAGCAACTAAATTAAGTTAAATCTTAAATGGACTACCTATGCAGCATTTGCGCATAAGCTTCACCACCTGCAATGATAATGAGCCTTGAAAGGACCCAGGATAACTTAAGTTCAGCCTCCTACCTGATACAAAAATCCTTCCTTCTATAACCCTCATAACCAGCCCAGGATCTATTCAAATCTTTCCCGCCCAAAATCAAAATCAAATTCTTCTCCTCTAAATTAAAACAATCTGCATATGCCACAGATTTAGACTAATCTTTCTGTCAATAAAATGGGGAAAAAAGTGGAAGGAAAATAGACCATAATATTAGCAATAGTTATTTGTGAGTTCTAAGATTCTGTGTTTATTTTTATTCCTTTGGATGTTTCTATATTATTTAAATGCAAATGTGTATTAGGTCACAAAAGAAAAGACTCACAGCTGGGAGCTGGTGGCTCATACCTGTAATGCTAGCTACTCAGAAGGCTGAGATCTGAGGATCCTGGTTCAAAGCCAGGCCTTGAGACTTATCTTCAATAAACCACTCAAAAAACTAGAAGAGGCAGTGTGGCTCAAGTGGTAGAGTGCTAGCCTTGAGCTAAAGAGCTGAGGGCAGTGCCCAGACCTAGAGTTCAAGCCCTATGACCAAAAAAAAGACTCACAATATTAGAATCTGAAAATTTAGAGAGATAAAACAGTGTCTTTAACTGTCTATCAACCAGGCCTTCTGTCTTCTGGTGCAGGGCATATTCAAACCTATTCTTAAAGAACTTTTTTTTAAATTGCTTTTCCACTCTAATCACATTATGACAAATTGTGTAAAAGCGGACCTGAAAAAGCCTCGGTCTACGGCTGAGCGATTCATGATAACAGAGTCTTCTTGATTATATCCAGTGTATGATGCAATGGCCACAATTGAGTTGATTCCTGCAGAAAATTCAAGAGAACACAAAAAGCGTCATCACAGAAGTAAAGAAAACCTGCCCTTCCTTTTAAATCCATTTTGTTCAATCTTATTTGTCAGAAATGGTTGGATGTCTTTATCTGCAATCTACAAAATAGCTGCTCTGCTGACTAAATGTTTCACACAAGCAAATCCTAAAATTGTCATTCTCAATGCATTCATTCTTACTAGTAAAAATCATTAACAAGGCAGCTCATATTTGAGTGCATTCTGAACCAAGTTTCATTGTACTCACCAAACTCTGTGCCTTTTTCTCTTGTATCAGGAGTTAATTAGTCTATAATCTCCAGTTAATAATCAACAGATTCAAACCCTAGCCTCCTATCTTCTCCTTTCCAGTTAGTTTTATAACTGGTACTACCCTGTTCCTCTCTTGCCAGGACATTAAAAAAAAAAAAAGCACATTCTTTCCTACTACCATGTTAACTCTTAATGGCTGCTCTACTTTTGCTGAGACCATAAAGAAAGTGGTAGCAACTAGAGACAGCAGCACAGGCCTATACTACTAGCATTCAAGGCTATGGCAATATGACAAGTTCAAGACCAGAGTGAAACACATGGGAAAGGTTAAATAGTAAGTAAAATCGGGAAAAGGTAAAGGAATGGGTGACATTGTCCAAAAAGAAATGTACTCTTTACCTGACTTGTGTAACTTTAACCCCTCTGTACATCACCTTTATAATACCTTTTCTTTTTTTT